GTGTGTGTGTGTGTGTGTGTGTGTGCGTGTGTGTGTGTGTGTGTGTGTGTTGTATTTTATAGGAAAGAATTAAAGTAAACTTTCAAACACTAAAGACCACCAACATTTTGATAGATTTGGAAAGTCAAGTGAAAGTCAAGCAATTCTGTTTTGCTACAATAAAATTAAAATGTTCTTACCTTTAACTGTTATGTGAAGAGGATCAGCACAAGCTGTTCCCCTGTAGTCACCTTTCTCAACTCTGAAGTAATATTTGCCTTCATGACTTGTTTGTATATCAGGAAACAGAGTGGTGCAGTTTTTCTCTTTCAGGTTTCCAGTCATATTCAGTGAATATTTGTTGTTAACTGACCCACTGCTGTTGAAAATAACGATGCTTGGATTGGACCCAAAATTTACACCACCTTTCATCCAAACTCCATAGATAGTTTTACTGCTGTCATATCTAGGATCCTCTGTTTCATAGGTACATGGGATTTGCAAACAAGATCCAATCAGAGCTTCCATGTATTTCCGTGTAGTGATGTTGAGGGCTGGTGTTTGACCACCACAGTTATTAGCCAAAGCACCTGAAAACCAGACCGATAATGAACATAAAGATCAAAATCTGCCAACAGGAAAACTTCATGATCCTCAAACTCCAGATTAGCTGCATCATGTTACATTTGGAGACTTTAAGCAGGATCATGATCAAATATCTTAGACAAGAAATGTTTCATGTGATGTCTGACATTCTTCAAATGAAAGGAAGTGAACAAACATCTCACCTGGAAGAAAGAAGACAATCAGTAACATGTTGACTGTCAGCATGTTCTCAGTCAGAGCCATCAGACTGATAGTTGTCCTTCGTCTGTCAAATTGGAGAAGACCTCAGAAAAACACTTTTCAGTTTTTAAATCAAAGTATATTTTGGATAAATTATTTGGCAGCAAATTAAAACTGACATATTATAAACAAGAATATACCGATAGTACTGTGTTAGAAAGGTATAGTTCATCACTAATTTCAACAGTCTTTTATCGCAAAAAAAGTAATTTATTACTTTAAACGTTGCTAAAAAAAAAAAAAAGGTTCTTACCCAATGAATCAACACCTGTAACAAAATTACTTCAAATTAAGGAGAGTATAAATTTTGGCAGCTGAGCAGAAGATCAAAAAAAGAAACTTCTCTGTTTAAAAGCCGATGTTGTATGAAATCAAGAAGCCGTATGGTTTTCTTCCTCATCTGTAAAAGAGGAAGTTTGGTGTAGCATTAGCTTATAAGAGTCTATTTGACTGACGACTTCCTTGTAACATGTAACTGATATTCACTGTGTGTTGAATAACAGTGTTAATATGAAGATAAGGAACAGACAGGGGATTTTACAATGTAAGGAACATTTGTTTTATTTTTGTAAGGGTTAGTTAATTTCGAGGTTCATCTAACCAAAGCAAAATCTATATTTTCTTTCAAACATCCAAATTTAGCTATATTCACTGTCTAGTGTTGAAATAAAACAGTTAAAACTGATAAACTTTTATCATGTTATAAAATTAATCATATAAAGACTGCTAAAGTACTAATGATTGATACATAGAGCTTACTGATTTGTTTACAGCTGATTAATGTGTTTGTGGCATTAACAGCTGCAGAACAACAGCCATTACATTAAATATGTCATTGGCGATCAGGGCAAAATATAAACAAATCCAACCAATTGTTACTTTTTCTGCTCTTGTATAGAAATGAGGAGCTTTTCTCAAGCTCATTTTTCTAGGTTCCCAACTTGGTCTTGTTGACTATGGCGGTCTTGATCATCAGAGTCCAAATCTGAAGAGTTTTAACTCAATCCTTACCTTAATGTCTCTCTGTCGGTTCAGGGTTGTACTGCAATGGTTGGATATAATTTACTCCAATAAAGTCTTTCAGGAATTATTGATGCACAAAAAAAATATTTTCTTCTATTTCCATTTCCAGTGTAGAAGTCCTGTCTGTGGTACTTCACCGACTTTAGTGTCTGTCTAACTCAAGCAGGCCAAAATGTTAGTCAGTGCCGAGAACAAAGCTCATGTGTGACTGTCAAGAGAAAAAATTTACATTACTTCCCTTTGCACTGAAATTCAAGCTCCTTCAAACTGTACATGGCTCTACTGAAAGAAACCTGTTTGATTTCAGCTCACTGATATGCTACAAAAAGCATCGACACAGGCTTTGTCATCATTTTTGGAGAAGTGATAATGCTGTTTAACATTTTAATAAAACTGCTGCAAAAAGAAAAGAGCTGAACTTTCTCTTCAGAATGCAAATGCTCCAGATGTTTTTTTTTGTTTTTTGGGTTTTTTTGTCTTTTATTTCCAGATAACCCTCAGACTAAAAGCACCTCTGAGTAATGTCATTGTATGAAAATTTGGTAACACTATATTCGACGTGGTGTGAATAAAACTGACATGACGTAAACATGAAGGAGTTTTCATGAATGTTTACGACTGTTGTCATGAAGTGTCATTAATACCCGCGTTAAACGGACGGCGGAGTCCGGCGACGACAGGCGCTTAAATTCCGTAACAAAATTATGTTTTTATCTTTTTCTTTTCAAAACCTCTTTCTCTTTCTTACTGTTAATTCAATGTCACATGCTGTTATTTTTTCTTTAATTATGTAAAGCACCTTGAAATGCCTTGCTGCTGAAATATGCTATGCAAATAAAATTGTATTGATTCGGTAAATAATTACACATTTAATGCAAAATTGCATTAAAACTTGTATTAAAAGTCCATTAAATTTGTCAACTGTGCATCTAGTTGCTCTCTTAGATTTTGCTTGTTATCTGTCATCTTCCCTCAATCTGTTACTCTCAGAGTATTTCGGCCTTGTTATCCTCATTGTTCTCCACTGCTTCATCGGTTTTCCCTGCTGTCGCTGCTGTTGTCTTACTCTGCCAAAATCTTTGTAAGTTTTCTTATTTATCACTAAAACATGCAGTTAATGGTCATTTTTGGTAGGAGTTGCGCTACATGACACAGAGCTCAAAAATCGCTTGAGCTTTTAAATAATAACTTGTGTGTAGTATTAAAAAGCAACTTTCTCAGATAAACAAATGCAGTTTTTATAGTAAAGAAAAAGACTGGAAAAACGTGTTGTCACAAAAACGTATCGACACTTGAATAACGTGCAGATAAAACCGCAAGAAAAATCTAAATCTGGCTCTGTGGGAATTTGACCTAATGAGCAAAATATCGCAAGAGCAACTTCTGTGTTTGAAAATCAATTTTAGGTCAGAGCTGACAAGTGCTATTTATCCTTCCTCTTTTATGAAAGAGGATGTTAGCCTTTCAAACACATTGTCTGCCATGGTGTACAACACAGATAAGGAAAATCATATCTGTGTATTAACTTTCTGATTTGTTTCAATATGTGTTATTTTTATGCATAATTTCAAAGCAAAAAGTCATCTCAAGGAACTATAAGACAATGAAATAAAATTCCCATTCAGAAATGATAATACACTTCAATTACATAGGAAGATTATTTACATACATTATGATTTAATCCTAAGTGTAAAACAAAATCAGTTTATTATTATGATGATGTTTTTCTCTACTAGAACATTGAGTTTAGCGGTGCATAGCACAACTTCAAACCCACCAGAATAAGGTTTGCAACTTAAGGTGGAAGGATTTGGTTATTATTCATTTATTAGGTGTGGACTTCTCAGACATGTCCTTTATGGATGAGTGCCAAGAAGAAATCCATTGTTAAAATAAGGAATAATAAAGCCCATTAATCTGTGCAAAATCTGATGTACAGGACAGAGAAAACATGTGGAAGAAAAATGTGTTGTCACAAAAATGCTGTTGAGCAGGTTACAGTGACAGACTGATGCTCCTTCAGGTCAGAGGGAACATTAATGCTGGGACTTTCCTCACTCAGGTTTCCAGTCATTTTCACTGAATAGGTGTTAAAACTGTCACCATGTCCTGGCAGTCAAACATGAGATCCTTCCTCCCAGCAGCTGTTAGGCTTTACAACCATCAGAACTCCCATCAAACCTAGTAAGTGTTTACATACATGCTGGTATCTGCACAACTTTACCGTTGCAGAGATTTTTCCTGTCACCAGTGGTCAATAGTTTGGCTTCTAATGCTCAAGAAGACATGGACATGTGTAACTTTTTGAATTATTCAACTCAGTTGATTTTCTGGATTGGAGAACAGTATTTATGACTACATGATATTTATGTTAGAATTTTGTCCTTATTGTGTCATATTTTTATACATTATTCTCCTTTTATATGTACTTAATTTTATCATTCTGTGAATCAAATTGCTGTAATTGTTTGTCATTTCTCTGCTATTGCACAAACATTTCAATTCTATCCTAATCAGTTTTCCTTTAGAAGCACATTGTTTCTCCACACAGCTGTAGTAAGATAGTAATTTTGGGCAATGCATACATGAACATGATGGACAGCCCTAAGACCTTCCTCCTTTCTCTCATTGGTTGTTTCTGACTGGGTTGCATTTCTGTAGATAGCAGTAGGACCACAGGTAGGAGGCAGAGGAGCTTGATTTTTTATGTTTATTGTTTTCACATTTAGACAAATTATCTGTCTCAGACTGTCAGTATAAAGGGATTGCTTTAAGAAATATCAAATATATATATATTTTTAATAAATGTTACCTAATGCAGTTTTAAAGAAATGCAGAATCTAAAACAAAAGCAGAAAACCATTACCTTTAATTCCAGGACAAACACTGGAAGATATCTCATTACCCAGATCATTTGTAGCCACACAGTAATACTCTCCTCCCTCAGTGGCATTGAAGTAAGCCGGACCCACAGACACATTAAAGTCACATTAAAGGTTTGGCTCTGCTGGAGCAGCTCAGCTCCACCCAGCTACCTGCTGACACCAAACCTGATGGACTGATGGATGCTGAGGTGTTTCTAGGAGCATCTGAGGAAAATGAGACACATGAACTTTATTGATCACAAACAGCTGAACCATGACCTGCTGACAGGATCACTTACATGAAACACTGAGAGTCACTTCTGTCTCTGCTGTCTTGTTTCCTCCAATCACAGGATATCTGGCAGAACATCTGATGTTGTATCCATCATGTGTGTCTGACAGAGTGATGTTCTCCTGGATTTTAGTTGTAAAGGTTCCATCTGTGTTTTTCTCTGTTTGTCTGAGAGAGTCTTGTTGGAGATTCCAGGTGAGTTGAGGAGGTGAGTGTGGACAGGGAGTGAAAGCTGAGCAGGTTACAGTGACAGACTGATGCTCCTTCAGGTCAGAGGGAACATTAATGCTGGGACTCCAAGGAGAATCTGGGGTTTCACATCAAACCAACAAGATAAAAAGAAGCATCTGTAAAATGTGCATAAAGAAACCTCAACAGTTTTCAGTAGGTTTATATTTCTCAAACAGGACATATGTACTCTTAGGTGAAATGTTCCTACATTTTTTTTAACAATAACTGACTAAAAGTTTGAATCATTTTTGTCCTGAAGACAAAAAAAATACTAGGAAAAATGTTTAATCTCATAGGTGTTTCATTTTTCTGTTCATTTGTTTTATCTTTATGTTCATTTCCTATTGATTATATGTGTAATATGTGGATTATGTATCAAGATCATCGTCAGAATTTTTTTGAAGTAGCAATTTGTGTTCCGTCAGTCAAGTTTTGATCTATAGATATATGAAAATATAAGCTTACTCTTGGGGTACAATTCAACCCCTTGAGTTCATCACTAAAATACATCAAATTAATTGCTAAAATAGGAAAGGAAATGTAGTTTTAAAAAGCTGGTTGGTTATTATGAAAAGGCTGTCATAATGGATGGTAGACTTCAAACCCACATGCAGAATCAAGCCCGGAGATTACTGGTGAGTAAATGTTTATTAGAAAAAGCTATCACAATGTCTTGTAGATGATTCTTAGGTATAGGTCCCAGTCTCGCCTGGAAGCGGAGAAAACAGGTCAATGATCTGGCCAGAGGTGGACAAAAAGTTGGATGGGTTAACAGGAGTGATTAGCTTACCGCAGGCTGGTGCGGTTCTGAGAGCGGCAGGCAGATTTGCCAATGGAAGTTGGCTACTATCTGGAAATGAGAAACAGGGAACAAGTGAGGAAGGCTGACAACAGGCAGAGAGGTTTTCTCAAGAAGTTCAAATACAATGCTAGCGTTTCACAGGGGAAGGCTTAACAAGCTAGAGACTACCGTGAAGGGATAATCATCCAGCGGAGAGGAGAGGTCTGGTAGCTCCTTAAATCCTCTCCTGACTGATGATCCAACGAGCTACAGGCGTGCAGCTCCACTCCAGGCCACTCCCCAACGGGGAGCCGAAGGGGAGAGACACCTCTCTTAAAGGAAAAACCCAGAACCTGACAAAGGCTTTGAATACCAATTGGATTTTCTTTTGAAGGAAATGACTAGTAATTGATAGTAGTTGTTTTTTTCTTGTATGTAAACTCATTCTTGTGAAAGCAGATCATCTTTTGATAGTGTTTCATTGTCTTTCCTATTTTCAATGTTTTTTCTTTGTCTTTGAGATCTGTAAATATCATTTCAGAGAAAAACACTTTGAGTGAAAAATAGTTCTAATTATCAGAAATACAGTACTTTTTAACAACATTGCAGTTAAGTACGATAAATTTAAAAAATTGTCTTACCTCTTACTTTTAGCTGAAGAGGACGACAAACATCTGTTGCCATAAATGGCCAGTTCTCAACGCGAAGGTAGTATGTGTCAGTATAACTCGTATTTAAATCAGGAAACACAGTGGTGCAACTTTCCTCACTCAGGTTTCCAGTCATTTTCACTGAATAGGTGTTAACTGACTGACTCCTGTTGAAAATAACAGCGCTTGGTTTAACATTGAAATTGGTGATATTTTTCAACCAAACTCCATGTCATCTACTGATGTTATATGTGTCATGTGTTGAGCTGAAGCTACATGGGATTTGCAAACAAGATCCATTCAGAGCTACATTCTGACAAGGTGCACTAGCACGAAGGACTGGATCAGGACAATCAGCGAAGTTACCTGTAAAAACAGATTAATAATGGCGTAACATGAAGAAAACATTGACTGCAGACACATTTTATGAGCTGGAAACTCCAGTTCAGCTGCAGCATTTTATTTGTGGAGAATAAAAACAATGTTGGGATGAAACATTTCATGTAATGTCTCCAAGTGAAAAGAATTAAACAAACCTGGAAGAAAGAAGACACTCAGTATTGCCAGCAGGTTCACAGACAGAGCTGCCATCAGACTCTCCTCTGTCAGCTCTCTTAGAAATGGATTAAAATACCTGGGAATTATGGGTTCATATTTTTGTTACAAAACAGTCATTTCTGAGTAAGGCAGCAAAATTGGGAACTTAAATGTCAGTTTGATGTGTTGAAAAAATAAGCAAAACCACATGTATCTTTAAATGTTCACAATTTCAGTATAGAATGCAAAAAAATAAGTAAATTGCCCATTAGAAAGAGGACAGGTTCCTTAAACATAGACATGGCAGTTTATTAGTTATGGTATGAAAAAAATGCAATAAAAAACTGCTAAAGAAATCTCATCTGAATAACCTGAAGCTACAATATTTTGAGAAATTACCTGTAAATGACGTAAAGTGTGAAGTTCAGCTGATGAGCAGCAGAACAGGAACTCGCTTCTCTTTTTCTAAAAACCAGCAGTTTTGAAGCCCACGGCTATATTTATATTAACTTCTTCTTTAAAAAAAGAAGGATGTTGGCTGGTTTTAATTTGGCTGTCAGAATATGTATGAGCTCCTGTAAACACACACACACACACACACACACACACACACACACACACACACACACACACACACACACACATTTTAACTTACTGACTTACTGTGCTGAACAACAGTTTGAATATTTAGACATGGAATAGGGGGTTAGTCTGCTCAGGAATCGATGTAGATAAGTTTGATCAGATTTGCTGAGCATAGTTTATTAAATTTGCTTCATTTTTAACCCATAAGGAGAAGTAATGACACAAAAGCTGATGAAGCAAACAGGATATATCAACAGGAGACTTCAGAGTAGACAAGAGCTTCAATTGCATCACATGTACGGTAAGTGGGGATAGCAACGCTGGATTTGTGGCTTTGCTGCAGTCAGGTGGTAGTTTATCCAACTAACCTCACAGCTATGAGAGTCCTCCAGCATCTATTGTAGGATTACCAGAAACACTGAATCCTCCTTAAACGTCAGTGTGTGCTGGGGTTCATAAAAAGTTTGTAAACCCCTTTTTAAAGATTTGGTGAGAATGTCATGAATAAGTGCAAAACATTTTCCATTCTGGTTGAAACGTATTTTCTGTCACCAAAAGAAAAACAAACAATTTCACTAGAGAAACAGAAGTAAATAAATAAAGTAGAATAACCAAGCATGGTAGTCAGATCTATTGTCTGATTATTGTTCTCTGCAAAAGTAGTAACAACCCTTTAAGTTTTTCAATTTATGTCATTCGATTCTACTTCTACTGATGCCCCGCAATAAAATAAAATCTAAATCCCTTATGAAGTTATGCCATAAATTATAAATGGATTTAATCTAAGTGTAACTCTCCCTCTGTAGTTGATAATGCTGACCCCTAGTGGCTGGTTAAAGTCCACCAGAGTCAGGATTAGGAAGCAAATGCTTATTTGTCTATTTCTAACTTAAAAGACAGAAAAGAAAAACAATGGGTCACTTTCAGCTACCACACAGCAAATCAGTGATTTCCACTCAGCCAGCACTTTATTGATTAATGCAAGAAGGAAGACAGGAAGACGACATGTCCACCAGCGCTTAGGACCTGATCTAAGTATACTGTAAAAGAAAAAAAGGAAGAAAAAAAAACTTATCTAATTTATGGTAAAATATCAGCAGCTGTGGTTGCTGAAGTTTAGCCCTATAAATACGGTAAAATTCCTTCAACCACAGCTGGTATTTTACAGTAAACTAAAGGCGTTTTTTCTTTACAATGTAGACAAAACGTAGATTTTTAAAACGCTTTTATCTCAAAAGGTCTCCAACTCATTTAAATCAAGCACTGAGTAAAAAAAATACATTAAATTCATGTGATTAAAGGCAAAGGTAATTTTATTTATATGGCACATTTTCAGCAACAAGGCAATACAAAGTGCTTTACAGGAATTAAAAGGAAATACAAAAAAAAAATAAAGGAAAGAGCAAAAGAAGAAAAAGCTAATAATGTTGATCCAAAGTAAATAAACTAAATACTCACTGTATCTAGGCACTGTAATTCACTATACATCCAAAAATTCAATGGACTTTGGTTGAGTGTTACAAAATCATGACCAAAGTTAAGTTATATTCACTCTTTTCAAATACAATGTTACAATGTACAGAGTCAAGGAAAAGAGTTTGTGTTTACGTCAATGTATATATGTAGCTACAGTTGTTCTGCCTTCATGACAATGATTTCATGCACTGATAGCAACAAAAAACACCTGATTAAAATTGATATCATTTAATCAACTGAAACAGAAAAAATACACGACTGGTGAGATTTTATGCTTCACATTTCATGTCAATATCCAGTATCACTTTTTTTAAAATCAGTAAAAAAATTAAAAGCACACGTGCCTGTATGAAGCAGTAATAAAGAGAAAACCATCTATTAAAAATAAATCTACTTCACCTGTTTAGAGACAAAACCTTTACATTCAGCAAAAGTTCTGCTTCACTTCCACAACCTATTTATGTTTTAGCATCTTTAAGGCTATTTTAATCGCTCAGTGATCCATAAAAGCATTGCTATTTACTCCATAAGTATCATTATCATCACATCTAAATGCAGAAACAAGCATCAAGAAATAATAAATCATTTCTAAACACAATGACTGGAGATGTGATCAACAGTGTATCCAGCCTCTCACCATCTTTGCAGACAGGAAATCGCCTCTTGAGACACAAACTTTAACAACTGGACAGAGAAACTAGATGGTTGGATAGAAATAATAAATCCTCCCACTGTCAAGAGGCTTTGACATCTTTTTGGTCTCCTTTTGGCTCATGATGCTTCAGTCATCATCACGTTGTTGACGTAGATTGGCTCGTTTGTTTCCTGTGGACATGAAGCAGATAATGTGTTTTGGACTAAATTTAACATGAGCTCAAATTGTTTCAGAGGTAATAAAGGCTGGTCTCTTTGGTTTTAGTCTCACTGTGTTCCAAACTAAAAACAAAAAATAACACATTTAATCCTAATGTTACCTGATGACACTGAACATCAATGTATGGATGTGTGTGAGGGAAACCATCTCACTTCCTAAGTGATTTTAGAAGTTTAAATATTATAAAAACTGAAAAAGAAACTGCTGAACTTCAACACTTGATCTGGACGGCATTAAATTGGCCTCCAATAATAAAGTGAAGAATCTCAGTGTGTTTTTGTTTGATAATTTCTTTTATTTTTTATTTTATTTATTTTTTGGCCAAGGAATGTCATTTAAGTCCCATTTTAAACATCTTTTGACGATTTCTATTTTTCAAGCTAAATTTTCTATTTTTGCAAAAATACTTTTTTTGTAGCTATTACATTTGTAACACAAAAACAATTGAAAAATTTTGCTTCACCCAGATTTTTCATTTTTATGTCTTGTAGATACACATTGAGTGTTGAATGTATGGATTGGAAAATACAATAACTGTAGAATAAAATATTCTGCTCGTGGATTTCAAGATTGATCAAAATAGCACAAAAAGAAATGTCATATTGGACATGCTTATTTATGAGGATGTACAGGTGTTGTCCAAGTGTGCCATTTGAAGTCTCCAAATGGCACACTTGGACAACACCTGATACACAAACGTCAAATGACTGTAACTCCTCAGTGCTTCAACATACAGTCCTCAATGAGGGCTCTAATGAAAGAAAATGACCAGAGGAATTCTCTGGTAGACACGAATTACTGATAGTGAAAATTACTTATAAATAAAATATCATATCTGTCAATGTTTGGATTTGAGAATACGGGAAACTTTTAGCAGGTTGCCGCCAGCGACAGAGCGGGGGAGGGATGGAGGTGGTTAGTGTACAGTCAGACCTCCTCCCAGTACATACTGTACTATTTGATATGCATGCTCAATTGAAATTTTTGTAAACTGATTTCTTTGTAAAGTGCCTTGAGACAACACTTGTTGTGAACGGGCACAATATAAATGGATAAAATAGAGTTGAACATCTGTGCAGACTATTCAGCATTGATAGTAAAGGACTACATGAGCAGATGAGAAGGACACTAGATATTCACCTTTGGTGTTTCTGAAATCTATTGACATAGATATTATAAAAGGCATTTTATCAACAAATATAACACTGATGATTTAGATGTTGCCTAACATTTTTGTAGTTCATCTCACATAATTTGGCAGTGTTAGAATGCAAACAAAAAACTCAGATAGTTTACCTTCTTTGGTTTCTTGGAGAATCTGAACCAGCTGAAAGGACAAAAAGTATTACCTTAAACACCAACATCTAACAGCAGCTGCACAGTATCAAGTCATAGAAGAGAATCTCACCACTCAAAGATGATGATGCTAATGCAGAGCAATACAATGCTCAGGATCTTCAATATATTAAGGATCTGGAATTCAGACACTTGGTCTTCTGTGATGAGAAATCCAGAGTAAATCCTCATAATTCTTTGTTACTGCAAATAATTTGAATCTCAATTGTTTTTACTCTTTTTAAATTTGTTCTACAAAACAAATTCTGAACTAATTGAGTAATTTTTACACAGACAACAAAACGTGAAAACTGAAACATGACAAAACAAATAAAATCAGCCTTAAAGAACAACTTGACAAGATGAATGTAAGTTCACAAATTACCTTTAATACTAAGAAGGATCACTGATGACCTTTGATTACCCAGATCATTTGTAGCCATGCAGTAAAACTCTCCTCTCTCAGTAACACAGAAGCTGAAAACCTGTCCTACAGACACATTAAAGGTTCCATATTTGCTGATCCTGAACCAGGTGAATCTGGGTGGAGGTTTGGCTCTGCTGGAGCAGCTCAGCTCCACCCAGCTACCTGCTGACACCAAACCTGATGGACTGATGGATGCTGAGGTGTTTCTAGGAGCATCTGAGGAAAATGAGACACATGAACTTTATTGATCACAAACAGCTGAACCATGACCTGCTGACAGGATCACTTACATGAAACACTGAGAGTCACTTCTGTCTCTGCTGTCTTGTTTCCTCCAATCACAGGATATCTGGCAGAACAGCTGATGTTGTATCCATCATGTGTGTCTGACAGAGTGATGTTCTCCTGGATTTTAGTTGTAAAGGTTCCATCTGTGTTTTTCTCTGTTTGTCTGAGAGAGTCTTGTTGGAGATTCCAGGTGAGTTCAGGAGGTGAGTGTGGACAGGGAGTGAAAGCTGAGCAGGTTACAGTGACAGACTGATGCTCCTTCAGGTCAGAGGGAACATTAATGCTGGGACTCCAAGGAGAATCTGGGGTTTCACATCAATTTACACATTTTAATAAACAAAGCAGCTCTCTAAAAAGTAACAATTGAGTTCAATGCCATTTTCATATCCTACATCTGACCAACTAGGATAGAGTACTCTCTAAAAAGTGTATTTCTAGAGTACACTTCTTAGAGTGCACTTTCAAAAGTGTATTTGAAACAATTAGGTTCAATGCCTCGTTCATATCCAGCACTTTATCATGATGCAAGCGTCATCAGTAACAGATGCTGTACTGACTTTGGTGCAGAGGTAGAGTACAACTCACATAAGGAGACCTTAGTCCTCAATGCAGTCGTCGTAAGTTCGATTCCAGCCTGATAACCTTAGCGGCATGTCTTTCTCTCTGTCATTACCGACTTTTCTATCTAACTATTTAATAAATTTAGTTGGATAAATGTAATTGAATTACTTGTTACCAGTTGAAGCAATTTAATTAAGTTTGTTCAATTAATGTCTTTTGACAGTGCAAGTGTAAAGCTTGGTACATGCTTTATATATATATATATATATA